ATTTACAATCTCAAAAAACTTTACCTTTTGACGCTGTCAATTTGATGCACAATAAAAACACGAACATAGCTAGTAAAAGACTGCGCTTCAGGTCCAAGTGCGGTCTTCTTCAGGTCCAAGTCCAATCTTCGTTTTCACCATAGTGTTAATTTTTTCAAGTCCGTCTCCATGTTTAGTCGATTTCGCTTTGAGAGCGGCGATTATCTTAAAATAATTAATAATACATTAAAGGTAGCGTGCAACAGCGAGTATTGAAACAGTGCCTCTTCTTCGCTTCCATAATTGGTTCTACTGAAGACATCTTTCAAGATAACTTTATCTTCAGCAAAAAGATTGCTCATAAAGTTCCTGGACTCAGGAGGGATGAGTCCTGCAAGTGATTGTGCGTTACCTTCGTATATACCTGCACAGTACGCCTAATTCCATATTCTTTCTGGATATCCGTAAAATCGAATGCAGAAACAGACGCAGCCAAAAGGATTATGATAGTACTACGTTGAATCATAGCTTGATCTTGGGACCGCTAAACAAAAGCACCCAAAAGTTCCACAAGTGTTTGAAGTGCAGCGCTGTAATGGATTTTTTTTACAGAATTTAAATATACTATAAGTTAATGGCTACTGTATAAATTCTTCAGAAAGATGAGGATCAAAGGTTGAAGGAATTGGGTTACTAGAAAAGCGGACATTACTGAATCAAACTATTCGAGCTGAGCAATAGATTTTTGGAGGTTGAGCTCGAGTTTGGTTTTGCGAAGTCATGTAAATATTGCCTACAAAAGACTTCGCAGCGTTCAAACAACCAAGCGTCTCAGCCTGCAAAGAAGATGTGTTTGAAGGCCCTGAGTTCGACTGGAAATTGAACATGCATTTTCAACAATATTCAGTGGCTATCCTTTACGTTCCGCCACGTGGGACCGTAAGCCGTAATAATTACAGGGAATGTAGGTGATTAAAAATTCATGACATAGCAAGAAATTAAAGTGCAAACTTTGTGTAGCCTCTATATTCTGGGATAGGGCAAGTTTTTTTCTTGTTGTGGCTTAACGCATACGAGTTGTCCATTTTAGCAAGTGTCATCATACTTGGTATGATGATGGAAATAATGGAAATAGCAAATGGATTTTGTTGTCCACAATCTGTTCAACCGACGCTTCTACCGACAAGATGTTCCGAACCGAAGCTGAAATCCTTGGAACCTTGGAGAAGAAAAAGGCCGCAAATTTTTGTAGTGAATGCAGTGTGCAGATCCGATTGTGCTTAAGAAAATTGAAAATAAGGATTTTGATATGTTCTGAACAAAGCAGTACAACTATTTGCGTAACTATAGCTACTACGAATTTTTTCTCATGTGCTTAGTTATGCGCAATTCAATACGATTACTAAGTCATGCGTACAGCTACATCCTGCTCCAAGCAACTTGACCATTGTTTTCAACTCTTTGGGCTTCTGCGTTGAGAAACGGGTTGAAAAAGGAAAACAGCTTTTGACATTCAGCTTCATTCACAATCTCAATAATCCTCGCAAAGCGTTTTTTAGATGTAGTTCTCTGTTAATGCAATCATTGCTCCATATGATTTTTGAATTTAATGTTGCTCTATTCTCTCACCAGCTTCTTTAACTTTCATGAAGGAATACAGTTTTTGTCTTGATT